CCATTAAACTGAATCTAACATGAAACGGCTGAACTTGACTTGATGAACTGAACCCTTGGCCGTGATGCACTCGCTATGTGCGAGGCCTACGGCCCTTGGCCAAATCTTCGACCGAACTGAAAAAGACATCGACCATTTTAACTTAACTGAACTTAATATGAATAAACTTGTCAAAAAAGACTTGAAAGTTCAGCCAACACATATCGAACATCAAAGGCCGCGGCGAACGCCCGAGCGCCGCCGATGGCTACGTGCCGTCCCTCGGCCGATCTTACATATTATCCGACAACTACCGAACACCTCAACATAATTATTAAATTTAAGCAATATAAGGACTAATCACACGGACAGTTATGCTTAATACTGAAAGTAACAAGCCTCGGCCCTTGGATACCCGAGGCTACGCGCAATAGGCGCGGGGGCGCCGGCTGGGGCCATTTCATCAGCTTTTCTGCATATTTACTCAACAATCTGATCCTATTGAGCATTAATTAGACTAAACTGAACATTTAGATAATCAGGGTTCGAAAGTTGTCGGAGAGAATCAAACTTTGTTCGGTGATAACATACATGGACTTAGGTACGGTTTTTCTTAGAATTTCTCAAATAAAATCTGATCAATTCACTCTGAACTGATCTTACTACTAGGATTATGAATTGAATAAGATGATACCTTCTCTGCTAAACTGATCTAAGTCGGAAAACAGGTACGGCCTTCCTTCCTCGCGCGTCCCCGTGCGATGCCCTCACTTGCCGTGCGATTGCCGTGCGTTTGGAGTGGAAGTTTGGGAGAATTTACTTGTCTTTGGTTGCTGAAGAAAGAGGCTAAAATATACTGAAAGTGTTGCTCGGTTCTATGGGAAAAATGGCAAAATTTTCCCAAGTGCTATGCTTATATAGCCGTACGGTCTTGAGGGATGATGACGGCACAACAACGTGGCCTTGATCTTAAATTACCACTTGTTTGATTAATAGGAGGGTTAAGATGACTAAGCAACCTCTAACTATGCCACGTTTTCATGCTAATTGTGGAGGAAATTTGATGACCGATTATTGAAGAAAGCTACGGCTAATGCACCATTTTGGGGCCAAACACTTAGAACTCACGGCTACTTAGGGTTAAGTTGTGATTAATCACTAATTAATCACTATCTTTATGTTTAATTGTTAAATTAAACATAATACTTAATTACCAAAATTATTTCGGACGTAAACGGTACGCCGAAAATAGATTTCGGTAATCCTGACTGAACTTATTTAGTTCCGAAAATAATAAACGATAACGTTACTATCTCGGAATTAAATATAACTTACACCGATTAAAATATCGGGATATTACAATCCTCCCTCCTTACAAAATTTCCGTCCTTGGAAATTCAAAACATGACTACTATACATGAACTATGTACATAAGATGAAGAATATGTACATCAAAACTGAAAATCTGGAAAACGAGCGCGAATGTCCGACTCTTCCTCCCAGGTAGCTCCGTGGCGATCCCACTGAATGCGCACGAGGGGGATATCTCGCTTCCGGAGCCGACGGACCTGACGGTCTAGTACAGCTACCGGTCGCTCCTCGTACGACAAGTCTAGCTGAACCTGAATATCCGTGTGAGGGATGACATGGTCAGGGTCGCACACGTACTTACGCAACATAGATGCGTGAAATACATTATGAATGCCTGATAACTCGGGAGGTAGGGCTAGACGATACGTGACCTCGCCTACTCGCTCGAGAACCTCGAACGGACCAATGAAACGAGGGTGCAGCTTCCCTCTCTGCCGAATCGCACTACTCCGCGAACCGGGCGAACTCTGAGAAAGGCGTGCTCGCCAACCTCAAACTGGATGTCTCGTCGATGATGATCGGCGGAAGATTTCTGTCGACTCTGGGTTGTCCTAAGTCTCTGCCTGATCAACTCGACCTGCTCTGCTGTCTCCTCGATCATCTTAGGACCGAGTACTCGCCGCTCTCCAACGTCGTCCCAATAGAGAGCGGAACGACACTTGCGACCGTAAAGTGCCTCGTAAGGAGCCATCTGAATAGAGGAATGATAACTGTTGTTATACGCGAACTCGGTGTACGGCAACAGCGACTCCCACTTGGCACCCCTGTCAACAACCAAGGCGCGAAGCATATCCTCGAGTGTCTGAATCGTCCGCTCTGACTGACCATCTGTCTCCGGATGGTAGGCTGAACTGAACTCAAGCTTGGTGCCCATCGCCTCATGTAAGCTGTGCCAGAATCGGCTAACGAATCTGGGGTCTCTGTCTGATACAATCGTGACGGGCACTCCGTGGAGTCGGATGATCCCACGGGTATATATCTCAGCCAATTTGTCCAGAGACATCTTCATCGAAACGGGTAAGAAGTGCGCCACCTTCGTCAGTCTGTCGACCACGACCCAGATAGCGTCGTGGTGTTCAGCCGACCTCGGCAATCCCGTAACGAAATCCATAGTAACTTCCTCCCATTTCCACCTCGGAATCGGTAGTGGTTGTAGGAGGCCAATTGGACTCTGATGCTCGGCCTTGACTTGCTGACAGGTAAGACATCGCCTAACGAACTCTGCGACATCCTTCTTCATGCCTCTCCACCAAAACGACCCCTTCAGGTCGTGGTACATCTTCGTGCTCCCTGGATGGGCCAAGTAAGGTGCGGTATGTGCCTCTAATAGAATCTCCTTCCGCAATGCCTCGGCCTTTGGGACCACGATCCTGCCTCTGAACTCCAAGGCACCATCGGCGCCTAACTGAAAGTCCTGTACTCCTCCGGCGCGAACCTTGGCCTCCATGACACGCACAAACTCGTCAGAAGCCTGCTCTCGCCGGATCCTCTTTCTCAGTGTCGGCTGAAGCTGCATAGCACTGACACTGGCACTAGTGCTCCCCGAGACAGCTATGGGGAGTGCATCAATCGCCTGAAGCTGCATCCGGGCGAACTCATGGATCAATGGACTCTGCTGCGTGATGACGTACGTCAAGTCTCCCGTCACCTTTCGGCTTAGGGCATCAGCGACGACGTTCGCCTTCCCCGGATGGTACTGAATGGAACAATCATAATCCTTGACCAATTCGAGCCAACGGCGCTGCCTCATATTAAGCTCCTTTTGCGTGAAGATGTACTGTAGGCTCTTATGGTCAGTGAATATCTCGCAACGTCCGCCGTAAAGGTAATGACGCCAGATCTTCAGGGCGTGAACGACTGCGGCTAACTCTAAGTCGTGCGTAGGATAGTTCTGCTCATGGGGCTTAAGCTGACGTGAAGCATACGCAACGACCTGTCCGTCCTGCATAAGGACACATCCCAAGCCCTGCCTCGAAGCATCGCTATAGATAGTGAAACTCCGAGAAGGATCTGGGATAGTCAACACCGGTGCTGTAGTCAATCTCCTCTTGAGCTCTTGGAAGCTCGCCTCACATCTGTCAGTCCATTCGAACTTCACAGTCTTCCTCGTCAGCTGGGAAAGTGGGAGGGCAATCTTAGAGAAGCCCTCGATAAACCTGCGATAGTAGCCAGCTAATCCGAGAAAACAGCGAACCTCGGACGGATTCCTCGGTGTCGACCAGTTCTGCACAGCTGAAACTTTTGAAAGATCCACCTCGATGCCTGCCTGGGTAATAACATGACCCAGAAAAGAAACTCGCTGAAGCCAGAACTCGCATTTGGAGAATTTGGCGTACAACTTCTCTCGTCTGAGGGTTTCGAGAACCACCCTCAGATGCTCCTCATGCTCCTTCTGACTCTTCGAGTAGATGAGGATATCGTCAATAAAGACAATAACAAACTGATCGAGGTATGGATGGAAGATACGGTTCATGAGATCCATGAACACTGCTGGCGCATTGCTGAGACCGAAAGGCATGACTACAAACTCGTAATGGCCGTAACGAGTCCTGAAAGCGGTCTTAGCGATGTCTGACTCCTTAATCTTCAGCTGGTGGTAGCCTGACCGTAAATCGATCTTCGAAAATACACAGGCTCCCCTCAACTGGTCGAATAAGTCGTCGATCCTGGGAAGCGGGTACTTATTCTTGATCGTCAACCGGTTGAGATCCCGGTAGTCGATACACATTTGCATAGATCCGTCCTTCTTCTTAACAAAGAGAACGGGTGCTCCCCACGGTGACACACTCGGTCGGATAAAACCGAGTCGTAAGAGCTCCTGGATCTGAGTCTTAAGCTCCTGTAACTCTTTAGGCGCCATGCGATATGGGGCTTTAGACACTGGACCAGCCCCTAGAATAAGATCAATGGAAAACTCCACCTGACGGTTGGGCGGTCCTCCTGGAAGCTCGTCTGGGAAAACGTCAACGAACTCGCGAACGATAGGAACATCATGAGGTGTCCGCGCTCTCTGAGAATCCTCAACAAGGCTTACCAGGTAACCCTGGCAGTTGCCTCATTGCAATAGCTTAGTGGCTTTCGCCATCGATATAACATGAGGCAGTGAACAGTTCTTGGAGCCGAAGAAAGTAATCGACTCGTTTCCCGGAAGATAGAGAGTAATCTCCCGGTCATGGCACCTGATATCAGCATGGTAGAAAGATAGCCAATCCATCCCGAGAATAAGATCGAAATCCTTCATCTCGAGAACGAACGAGTCGGCAGTCAATACTCGGCCACCGATAGAAAGGCTAAGATCTGTAGCTTTGGCTGAGGTCACTATCTTTCGTCCCGAGGCTAGACTCACCTCGAGAGGATCGACAGCGGTAACTGCATGAACTCCGATGGCGTCGAGACACCGTCGTGAAATGAAGGTGTGCGTTGCTCCGGTATCGAATAACGCAAACACAGGAACATCATTAAGAACGATCATCCCGGACATTGTACCTGGTTGCTGTGCTGCCTCCGCCTGGTCGACCGCGTAGACCCTGGCCTGCTGCCGGCCCCTCTGCTGCTGCTGCTGCTGCTGCTGCTGCGGTCTCTGTGCCTGCTGTCGTGGCTGCTGCTGATGTGGCTGCTGAGGCTGCTGCTGAAGCTTCTTCGGGCAACGACTCGCGAAGTGTCCCGGCTCCTGGCAGAAATAACAAATGTCCTGTCCAGCACGACACTCTCCCCTGTGAAGTCGACCACAAGTCTGGCATGGTGGAATCTGTCTCTGTCGGGTCCTCCGGTCAGTCTGTGCACCCTTTGTCTTCCTCTTCTTCTCCTTTGCTGGCTGTGGAGCTGGTAGGGCTGGTGGAGCTGCAAATGGCTGAGCTGGGGCAGATGGCTGAGCACGATCACGAACGGCCTCCCTCCTAATACTAGCATCAACCTCCTGGGCGATAGAGACTGCTCGTGCATACGTCTGTGTCCCGTGTCCCACAATGTTATGACGGACTGCTGGGTAAAGTCCGTCAATGAACCTCTGAGCTCTCTGGGCCTCCGTGCGAACAAGATCCGGTGCGAAACCTGCAAGCCTGGTGAACTCACGCTCGTACTCATCGACAGTACGAGTGCCCTGCTGAAGCGCTAAGAACTGGCGCTCCATCTCTGCCCGATAGTAGGAAGGGTAGTACTTGTCGCGGACCAGATCCTTGAACATGTCCCATGTACAACCCGCCTTTTCACCGGGACGCATGCTCCAGTAGGCGTTCCACCAGAGCCTCGCGTCGCCAGTGAGCTGAAGTTGAGCGCAAACTACGTGATATCTATCGGGGCATTCCATAACTTCGAAGATGAACTCCAACCCCTGAATCCATTCGTCTACGATACGGGGGTCGCCTTGACCTGAGAACTTTTCTGCGTGATAGTCGCGGAACTGGGCGACTACCATAGCCTGGGTAGGACCCTGATGATCGGGCTCTCTACGTGGCGGCATCTGAACATTGAGAAAGATTAACATTACTGAATATGCGATAGCATTACTGACTGATTACTAAGCACACAGATCTCTTGACGAGTTGCCAAAATTGGCCGATAATTACTGACGTGAAACCTGAAGAACTCTAGAGTCATCTCGGAAAAATCCTAACATCTAGAGTCATATCTGAATGCCTAAATTCTAGAGTCATGTCCAACCTCTAGAGTCTGAATCTGATTCGAGCATCTTAACTAAAGTTCTGATCCTCAATTCTGAGCATAGACAAAGTAATATGTTTATATAACTGAAAAACTAAATTGCAACAGCACTTACCTGTCGTCGGCGGGGCGTGAACATGACGGTTCGGGTTTTTCTGAAAAATTTGGACTGAAAACTTTTCTGAAAAATTACTTACTGAAAACTTATCTGACTGAAAACTTATCAGAGACGCAGAAACGTGCTCTGATACCAATTGTAACACCCCACCTTACTAGATAAATCAGAGTAGCGCAATTATTCGCAAAGTCTGTGAAAACTAAAATATTTTTACTTTGCGAAACTGATTTGGGGTGCTACCGTGAAAAATCCTTACTTAACTTTAGAAAACCATTGTTTTAACTTATTAAAAACATCCGATTATTGAAAAACTGTGTTTTCTGAAAAGTTCGTCAAAATACGATAAATTCGACAAAATGTATCAAAACATTGTCAAAAGATCGTCAAAAGTAAGCGGAAGCGTACATTATAGTTATACAGTCCAAAACACATATATATAAATTTCCTGAAGTTCCCGATCTGCTCCGTCATGTCACACTCCCGGCCCGACCTGCTGACCTGAAAAGTAAGATAAGACTGGGAAGTGAGCACTAGGCACTGTGCTCCGTGGAAACTCATACTAATGTAAAACATCGTAAATAATAACAATATCATGAACTAAGCATATATGTCTGAACTGAAATGATACCGGTCTGAACTCGCGACCGAAGTCACGTACTCGCGACCGAAGTCACGTAACTGATAACTGATCTCGTGACCGAAGCCACGTAGTGACCGCAGTCACATCTGAACTGAACATCTGCCGGCGAACCGGACACCATGTGCACACTCTAGTGGGCAGACTAGGGCCACTAGAACCCAGAATGGACCGGCGGCCATTCCGAGCGGATACTGAAAATACATACCTCGTACATGGTAGAGCAATTATAAACAATGTAGTACTTAGTCTGAGTCCCCACCTGAACTGCTGAACTGATAGGTAGTGCTGATGCCTGCTAAACTGAAAATAATATAAACAATTACTATTGACTTTGCTCAGACTGTAACCTTAACTGATTAATCTCGTTAAGATGCTCTATTTAACTTAATCTGATTTTTAGACTTTATCCGGATAAATCGGAACTGAATTAAGCTGAACTAATTTGGACATGATTTTTTTTCTGAACTGAATTTAATCCCGGAAAATTTACGGAAATGACTCAAAATACTAAACCGGGCTCAAAACAGGTTAAACCGGACAAAATGGAGCTGAACCGGTCCAGCCGGTCTGAACCGGTCTGG